TTTAATGTAGTTTGGAGACTCAATGTTAACAATTTTAAGTTGAGATAAACTCATTAATGGCATATGAGTCAATGAACAATAAACTGGGTTAAGAGAATGCATTTGAAATCTTACAAACTTCACCTTTAAGGAGCAGCATGACAAAGAAGTGACTCACAGTGTTGGCCTTAATGAGCACTGACAGAGACTCAAACAAACAGAACGAATGCTGCAGAATTTGACACAAGAATCTGAGCATATATAGATAGGCTTGATTTCAACATTTAATCAGTAATGTTAGACTAAAATTACTAACATTATTGTGATGACAGTACAGTTCACTCAGACTGGGAACATTAAAGTTGGTGTCTGAGCCTGGATGCCTTTCTGTGTGGGGCTTGCATGTTCTCCCTTGGGTTTCCTTCGTATGCTTTGGTGTTCCCCAAAATCTAAAGACATACATGATAGGTGTGAATAGAACACAAAATTGACCATAGATGTGAATATGAATGTGTGTGTTGGCCCTGAGATTGAATTAATTATTAATTGTTACCATATATAGTGAATAACTGTAAATGGATTAACATTGTGTAATATGTAATTTTACTGTAAAATACTGTAAAATGTATGAGCGTTGGAGGTAAAAACTATGAATTGCCACAATTTATTGTTAAAAAAAGGGGAAAAAAAGTGGAGTCCCATTTTGTTTGTAAAACTAGAAAAATGTTGAAATATTACCCTGATGCTGTCACATCCTGTTATACATCCACTAGTTAGAATTACAACTTTAATTGATTACAAAAGCATAGATTAATGTGTACATAGATTCATGTGATGCGTGGGATTCAAACCAGAGATGATTAATATCAGGCAAACAAATTCTACCTCTGGCTGACATAGTCATTGGATTATTATATTGGTGTATGTAAAGAGATTGATTTGTTTGATTTTATACATTTTATTTTTATAAACCACTTGGTTAATTTCCTAAATATCAAAATATGGCCTCACTTAGTGTTCTCAGTGCTCAGTGTTATCAATGTAAATGGTTCTGTATCAAGAGTAATTTATTAACTTTTGAGCAATGGTTTTAATATTATCTGACCCAAATTTGGCTAAAATAATAAAGAAATTTAAGCAGGTTTATCACAAGCTTCAGGGTTCATACACACTATAACAGAACCCGAAGTTAGCCAAAATGGTTTGGCCCGATAATGGCCCAGATCCGGCAGGCCGGATGAAATAACTCAGCCCGGCTGCGGTTGCCAGAGTCGGCATGGACATGGGATGAATAACGCCCCAGAATTGGTCCAAATACACTGGCCCGAGTCCGGCTGCCAAAACTGCCGGCATTGGGCCACAATCACGCCGACAAGAATTGAAACACTTAGTCGGTACTGGCCCGAGTCTGGGTACTAAAACTGAGTCAACACCACCGGCATTGGGTCACAATCACACCAACGAGAACTAAAACACTGGCCCGAGTATGGGTACTGAAACTGGGCCAACACCACCATCATTGGGCCACTATCACACCGACGAGTAATGAAACACTTAGCCAGTACTGGCCCGAGTCTGGGTACTGAAACTGGGCCAACACCAACAGCATTGGGCCACAATCACACCGACGAGTGGCCCAATGCCGGCTCAGTTTCAGTACCTAAACTCGGGCCAGTACTAGCTAAGAGTACCATTTTGGTTGACGTAATTGTGGACCAATGTCGGTGGTGTCGGCTCAGTTTCAGTACCCAGACTCGGGCCAGTACTGGCTAAGTGTTCCATTTCTCATCGGTGTGATTGTGGCTCAATGCTGGTGGTGTTGGCTCAGTAAGATGGCATCTACTTCCAACTAAAATAAAATACATATTTTACATTGTCCTTGTTAAGTCTACTTATGCATGTCAACTAGGTTTGGCATGTCAAAAAGATTAAGGGTTTGGCCCTTACATCATTTCTTTTCATGGCAACCCCACCAACCCCATGAATTACCCCATAACATCCATATGTGCTCCCCCCACCCTTCTTTGAAAGAAGAAAAAAAATCCAGGAGCTTCCTCAAGTAAGCGTACCCTAAAAGAGGGACAGATTGACAGAAAGAGATACAAAAAGTAACATTTGGAACATATCTTTGGAAGAATTTGTTTGCATTCGGGCCCGCTCTTTTCTTCCCCCATCTCTGTCCAAAGTGAGCAGCAGCCATCTTTTGATGAACTTTTAAATCTCTCCATCTGATGCACTGCCAGTACTTGCATTTCTTTGCACTGATTGAAAAAGAGAAAAAAAAAGACCAGTCACAATACAGTGGCGTCAAACTCAATTCCTGGAGGGCCGCAGCTCTGCACAGTTTAGTTCCAACTCACACCTGCTTGGAAGTTTCTAGTAACCCTGAAGACCTTGATTAGCCGGATCAGGTGTGCTTGATTATGGTTGGAGCTAAACTCTAGCACTATGTCAGCGAACTCACAATTATAGCTTCATTATAAATAAACGTTATTTTGATATTATAAGTGCAGAACGGTTTATTAAAATGATATTATATGTTAGATTATCAAATGTTTACTCACAACGCTAGCAAGTTCTTCTGGCAATTAGCAGCACAAAAAGTCATTTTTGTCATTAGATGTCAAGGCTAGTGCGCATGTCTTAAAACTCATATAGCAAAAATGTTTAAAGTTCCCTTAACCACTTTAAGCTTGTTTCATTATATGAATTCAATCATTAATTTCCAAATGTAGTTAAAGAAAGAGAATGTTGGATAAAAGGAAAAAAAAAATGTTAACAGGAATTAAAATAAATACTCTAAAAAATAACATGGGCAGGTAAAAGATATTATGTTTTAGTTTAAGTGTCACTACATACTATTTACCACATTGTAAACGGAGACCCACCCCCAGCACTCAACCTAAACTGGTCCGGGTCTGCATGGCCATATCTTAGCCAAAATCAGACCAGCCCTTATGGTCCGTAATCGGGCCGAATGTGGCTAAATGTGCCGTGTCTCAGTGCAAATTGGGCCAGATCTGCACATCCAAAGCCTAGCCAAATCTGGCAACCATTACTGGGCCAGAGCCGGCTCACTTCTGGCGAGCCGCTGCCGACACACAGCCGAGTGAGCCGACACTCAGCCGCAACCGGCCCGATTCCGCTGCCGACACTCAGCCGCAATTGGCCCGATTGCGCTGGCTACCTGGGCTGTCTTGATTCACAATGAAAGTACAGAAAATGACATTTCTAATCACAGATTTTTAATGCACTCTATATTTACATATCAAATCTACAAAATAGGTGAATGTTAAAATATGCCTGGTGAACTCATTATTTCCAGCGTCATAGCCCTTTACACACAATCCCAGGTTACTATATCTCAGCATTACATTTTCATACAGTAAAGTCAGCACAATGCAAAACAAAAAGTATACTGGCACTTCAAAAGTAGCTTAAACACTGTTAAAGCAGATCCAGTTGTTCACAGAGTACTAGTATAAACTGGGACTGAAGTACTGGATTCAATAATTTTCAGTTGTCAAGTTGAGGATTTTATTTAGAGTTTCCTCTTTTCCTGTTAGTTTGAGAATCAATGGCAACACACACAAACACACACACACACTCTCTACAGGCAGAAGATACTCAAGAGTACACACAAAGCTGTACCAGGATCAGTTTTGCTGTAAAGAATGACTGTGCACATAACTGAGAGGAGCTAACCAGTTACTAGAGGCACAGACAGCAACCTGTCCAAAACTACAGCACCAATAGAAATAAACTTCATAACATAGACCACTTACAGTATTTGAGGTACAGTAGATGTCACACAATCACAATTCATTCAAAAACTACTGCATTACATATTATATATTCAACAGCAGAACAGATCAATTTAGTTATTTGTAGCATGTATAGTAGTAAATTACTTGTTTTTTGTAATTACTCAGTTGATCAATGATTTGAAATTGAGTTCTGATGACTCCCCGGCCGTGCTGTCCATTCCACTAACACATGATTCAAATATACAAACAAATATGATTCAATAAATCTAATCAAGTGTGCAATTTGGGGTACTGCAAATCACATTTCTTGATAGCAACACAAAAATTAGTTTCAATGACTAAACGAATACCAGTGTCTCAGTGTGAATGCTCTACTGATTAGTAAATTGACAGAATGAATATTCAGATAATTCAATGTAGTCGAGAAAAAGGGAGAAAAAATAAATTAATTTGACTTCCTTTGGATTAAATGAGGTAACAATTTCAAGTTAATTAGCTTTCAGTATTATTTTAGTACGTCATGAAGGCTGTGCTTAAAGGGTCATATGATGCTGCTAAAAAGAACATTATTTTGTGTATTTGGTGTAATGAAATGTGTTTATGCGGTTTAAAGTTAAAAAAACACATTATTTTCCACA